GATGGCTTTCATTTAGTGGCTTGAATTTATTTACCTGAGGATGGACAGTTTGCTAGATAATTTGGATTGGATCTGATCACATCACCCATGCTTTGCTTTCAGGTGTCCAAATACAGGACTCTATTACTGCTGACCCAACAGCAGTGGGTGTTCTGGAGTACCCATGCTTTAGGTCACAGAGTTCTCAAATTCCCAAACATCCTACTTGGCAGCCAAGTTAGGAACAGTGGCAAAGCTCAATCTATTGTGCCTGTGAAAACCTGCACATCAGAAATAGAAGCCCAATGTAAACAACAATGAAAATCAGACCTTTTACAAGTCCCCCACATTTCCTCTCTTCCATTATGTCTCTCTGTCAAGGTATCTATCTGGCAAAACTACACTCTGGGAACAATCAGAGTCAGCCCTGATTGTTTTTATGGTTAAATCTCCAAAATGTGCCACTGTGAACAAGATCAACTGATTGATCCATCTGTCTATCCACCTATTAATTGCACAGTCCCATTTGTATTTTAGACTCAAACTCCAGCTATACCATTTTTGTCAAGATTTTATGAAATTTGGGTAGAGAAGCTTTGGCCATTACACCCAGCAATCTGTTTAATAGATGCTTATAGCAAGGCTATTCTCCTGAGGAAGGTTATCTTGGATTTGAAGAGAAAAAGTGGTGCAATTCTTTGGGCCAAACTGTGTAAGTGTAGTGTCTTCATATGCCCTTGGCCAGCAAGAAAAAGCAGCAGGAAAGGGAGCACAAAAGCTTCAGAGCATTCTTCTTCCCAATCCTGTGCTTGTTCCTGTCCTCCCTCTCCTGCATGTTCCCTCCCTCACCTCTCCTCTTCTTGCCTCCCATTCCTCCCCTCTGCCACTGCACTCCATTCCCCTCATCTCCTGCTGCTCTGCAGAGGCATTCCTGCAGTCCGAACCTAGCCCCCAGGCACATTTACTGCTGTTGTCTCAGCACTGCCTCCTCTGATCTACTCCTAGCCTTTTTATTTTTATTTTTGTTTTAAAATTAATTTCCCTGTAGATTTTAACCACTCCATTTTCATTTACCCATTTTGTTCTTCCTCTCCTCCCTTCCCCACCCTCCTCTTCCTTCCCCTGTTCCCTTTGTCTGTCTGTGTCCATCCCTTACCCTACCACAGAAAACCTCTCCTCTCCCCTCAGTATAAAGCAAGAGCCTCATGGAGCCTCTCTCACCCCTTTCACCCCCACCACGCCGGTCGGCTCTGGGCAGGCTGATCTTCAGCCCTTCCACATGGCCCTTTCAGACGATGCGTCCACGCCTTGCTACAGTGCCTTCCTTCATCATGGTGCCCACTTTGGGCAGTCCAGCAGCCAGCCTCTGATAGCAGGTAACCGGCCTTGGCCACAAACTGAGTGGGGATGCTGTAGGCAAGGGGTTCAGTTTCGTCTGATGGGGAGGCAAATAAATGCTGCAAGCTCTTTGAGTGCAAGTGGGAACGAGAGCAACCATGTGCCAGGTCTGCATCTGCAGTGTGTGTTCACAGCTCCATGAAGAATCAAAAAGTTTTCATGCCTGTCCTGCATTTTTAGAATAAAATGAGAAAAGAAGCTGTAACTACCTAGAAGTGACTGGATGTTCTGGCTGGATTGGGTTTGGTACTTAGTATAGAAACATGCATACAGCAATATCCTGTGTTGACTCAATAGCCATAATGTCCCTGAGTACTGCAGGCACAGAATACAGTGTGCTAGCCTAAGGCAGATGACAGCAGCGTAAAGATCCCAGCCAGCTCTAGGCCTGCCTGGGGTGTTCAGCATGGGTTGCAGCTACTAAGTCAGACAGACACAGGCAGTTGGTGAGCACTGCAATAGCTGTGCTGTGAGCAGTATTTGAGTCACCTGGTTTGGGAGTGTCAGTGTCTTCACACATCAGACCAAGCAGTTAAGAAACCCAGCATCATGTCTGAATGTCAAGACCAGGAAGGATGTGTGAAAGGCTATGTTTTACATCCAAAGGAACACAGAGCTGAGGTAGATGGCCTTTAAGGGAAGAGCAGAAGTGAAGAAATAGGTTGCAGAAGATGGCAGCATTTATGAGCAGCAGGCAGGAGGTAAAGATGAGGAGAAAAGTCAAGTTTCAGGTAGATACTAAGGGAAACCCCTGAGCAAGGCGACAGACACAACACTGCTGCATAATCTCAGGGGTGACTCAGGTGAAATAGTGGGTATCGTCTTGGGTGACCACTGACTATTTTTCAAAGGATGTAATCTGGGCTTTTTCAGAACAGACAAGTCTTAGTGCAGACCATACTAATATTCAAGAAACATATCTTCTTCCTAACACTCAAGAAACGTATCTTGCTTCTACCTCCTTCATGTTCCTATATTATATTTCTCTTTTGACTTAATATCCTTCCTTTGTCTTGTCATGTGAGATTTCCATTTCTAAACCTCCACGTAGGAAAACAGCAAGTAACAGCAGAGAAAGCTTGTGATCATTAGACCATCTTGCTCCTACCTTACTGCAGCCACTAAGAGCCTCTGAGTTCTGGGCACTTCCTAAGCCAAGAAGTGGTTCCAACAGTAGAGATATCTGGGGATACTGTTATATACGACCATCTTCTAGCCTAGAAGGCACTGTGTTTCCTGAGAGGCACATGCCTTAAGACTCTTATAGGGAATTAGACATGGGACAAAGCGTTCAAAAGCACAAACAATGCCACAGTGATTCAGGTGCTGTTCCTCACTCAGAAAGTTCTTGCAGGAAGAAGAATGGCTGCAGCTGGAAGCATGTTATGAGCTAGCTTTGCCATAGCCCTGCAGTACAAGAATTTAATAATCCTGTGTACCTGTTTGCAATGGAAGGAGCCTGTTTGTATGTAACAGCATTTTAAGAGTTTCTCTGTGGGACTCTTACTGATGTTACTGATGCAGTACTTGCTCATTATCTTCTTTTTTCAAGACTGGGATTCTGACAAATGATCACTTCCCAACAATTTTGCCATGTTCAGTCTTGAACATCAACCTCTGTGTGCTCATGTCTGTATAAAAACACAGGGGCATATGTGCACACATCAAGTAGCAGAGTGAGTGTATATGTGATCCCACCTGAATGAAAGTGTCAAAATGAATTCATTTTGCCTGCAGCTAGATAATGTTATCTCTGACTTTTCAGTGACACTGTTTTCTTACTCATCACTTGTTATTTCTCAGCTTAGTCAATAAATGAAACTAAAAGAACAAGAATTTTAAGCATAAAAGTTCCTTGCCTTAAACCAAAGTGAGAAAAAAATTACTACATCTACTAGGTGTTATTCATATGGTTTAACATACAGCTACAAGTCACTAAAGGAACGATGGTGATAAAAGAGTAAAAGAGTTCCGAATATTAATCCCTGAGACATTATGTATTGATTTTTAACAGTACTGGGAGTGGCTGGAAAATGGCTCAGCTGTTGTCCAAGAGGACATAAGCTAGGAATTTCAGCCACTGATAGGGAACCTCCTCTGGAAGAAAGAATGAACTTGCATTTCTGTTTTCTTGAGTAAATATCCTCAGTAATCCTTACTCAAGACCTGTGAAAGCAATGACACTGGTTTAGCCTACCTCATCCCAGAGAAACTTCCTCCCTTCAGGTTAATGTTCCATGCTTATTAGTTTTTGCTTTGCCTTGTAACTGTTAATTATTTCTGATTCCCAGCCAAGGTTCATGCTTGTTCCAGGGCCTGCTCTTATCAGTTATCATTCTGCTGGTAGTAAAGCTAAACCAATGCTTCTTCTTTCATTGGCATATCCCAGCATGGTTCCTGTGACTCCAGTGGTGTTAATGGGCTTTACTTAGCCAGTCACTCCTAAAGGTGAATCAGGCTCTTGCCAGGAGAGACAAAATTTAACAAAAGAACAAGAAATAGCACAAACTTCTTGGTGAGCTATAGTTCACCTAGGGAATGTGAAAGGCTTTTGATGCCTGGAACCGGCTGACATCTCAGTAGGCAGTGTTGGAGGTTGAGCTGTAAACCTCTCAGCAGCTGTGGGGGAAAGATTATCTTAATTTATTTAGCTTTTTGTTTTGTTTTATTTTTCTTTGTTTGTTTTGTTTTGCTTTGGCTTGAAACTCCCAGCAGCTTCTGAGATTATTTTAGTTCATTTAAATGCAATAAGCACTAACAGCAAATGCCCTTCTGGCTGGCCCATTTTCAGGCTAACCAGTCCAAATGAGGAAATGCCTCTGGCATGAACCAAGAAACCCCCAGCTGCACTTCCTAAGAGAGGAAAAATAAATTACAATCATACACCCAGTCCACACCCCTCTCTACTTCTTTGGCGATGAAAAGTTACCACAACTTAAAGTATTATTAACAAAAACTTGTATCTGTGAAAAATTAAGTGAGACAAACTGATTTGCATGATCCTATTATTACAAATAGTACACCAGCACCTGGAAGGAGTCCAACCATTATCGGTCTCATGCTAAGCGCTGTGCAAATGTACTAAAAGTGTGCTCTTGCACCAAAGAGTTTGCAGCACAAAAAGAAGCACAGAAAGGTAAAGTGACTTGCCTAAAACCATATGCAGGTGAATGGCAAAGGTGGGAAGAGAGACAGGCACAGAAAACTCTTGGATCACTTCCCAGTGCCTTGCACATTGATCATGCCCTAAAGCAACATCACCACGGTTTTGGAACGGCATCCACTGCATATAGACAGGACCTCAGCTACTCTGGCAATGAATATGCTGCCATTCTCTGTGCAGATCAGGGCCATTTTGATTTAGTTAAAATAGATCCAAAATCAAACCAAATTCTTTTGAGCCTCAGCAAAGCTAAGTTTTAACATCCATCCTTATAGTGTGAGATCAAAAGTGCCCCAATCTTCACCCAAAATTTTCAGTAGGTAGACAGAACTCATGTAAGAGAAGGCTGTGCAGTAGTTGCCTATCAAGTTGTGTGACAGTGGGACAAGAGGTGATACCAAATCAATATTGAAAGATCTTATCTGTATTGATCACCTGTCCTGATTCTCACCCTTTCCAGGTCGTGATATGGCAAGCACCACCTTGCCTGGATACCCACCCCATGTTCCTCCAACTGGACAAGGCAGCTACCCAACATCAACTCTTGCAGGAATGGTTCCTGGTAAGTCAGCTGCCAACCTCGGTAATGGTGCACACATGTCTGAAGGCTTACCAGCATGTGAGAGCTTTCACAGCTGGCTTGGCTATTGCTTTGCTGACATGAAGAGCTATTTTTTCATAAAGAAACCATCAGGAGCCTATGACCAATGCAGCTAACAACCCTTTTTGTAATGTATCTCTTTCCCCCTAGTAACTGATTCACTGCTGCTATGGGCAGCTAGCTAGCTATAACCTGTGGCAATTAATTGGTAATTAATTAACCCTAGTATTCATTAACTAATGTCATTATTTTCCAATGACCCATGCAGATTATTATGTACTGCTCATGGCTCAAGACACTCACCTATCCACTAACTAAGGGTGACAACTCACCTTCTGTCTAAATCCATGGCCATCAAGCTGAAAATTATCAATGGCAATTTAATACCTACAGTATTTGAAGACCTACTGTCTATATAGCCTAAACTTACTAAGAACTCAGAAATTATTAACAGCATTTCACTAGAAACTAACTATTCAGTCTTATCAACCAACTACTTAACCACCTCCTGTTTGTAAAATAGTGCCACCAATCCAAGAAATTACCAACCTCATCCTACATCCAAAGACAAACTCTTTCTTTGATACCCAGTGCTTTGGAGAAATACCTTATCTCAGCATATGTATACTCCCACTCTTTCAGCAGACAATTGAAGAGTTTTTTACCTCAGGCTCTATTATCCACCCTCCTCTAATGACAGTTGTCCCCAGTAGATGAATGAAGAGGCAAGATTTTCTTTTCTCAGACACGGTAGCTCAGAACTCAGAACTCATCTGCCACTGACTTCTGCATTTTATGGCCCATGGTTGTGAGTCGTGATGATTATGGGGCAGGTACACAGCCTATTCTGCATCCTCTGCTTCTGAAGAGATGAGTCCAGAACTGAAGCAGCAACAAGTTGAGGACAGAGAGCTCTTAAATTACTATCATCTGATTTGCCAGGGCTCAGGAGTGGAAACCCTAACTTAGCCCTCACCCAGATCTCAGAACAGACAGCTAAATGAACATGAACATCAGTGAGGACAGTGAAAATATAACTCTTAGGAAAGGTTTTCAGGTGAAAGTCTTCACATCTTAAAGTGACAAATCATAGAACTGCCTGAGTTGCAAGGGACCTTAAAGGTCACCTAGTTCCAACCACCTTGTCATGGGTGGACATCTTTACGGGATGTGCAAAGCCCCATCCAGCCTGATCTTGAACACTTTCAGGGATTGGGTATCCTCAACTACTCTGGGCAACCTATTCTAGTGGCAAATTTTAGGGCATGTCCTAGGGCATGTACTAAATTATTCAAGAAGGTGTTTTGGCTCCAGAATCAGACATGCACTGAGACAATATAAAATCAATTAACATCTCCCACACAACTTCCCCCAGTAACAGTAGGTAAATTCAGTTGACAGTATTTAAGATCATTTATGGTCAAAACTTACAGGAGGCCACAGCATATAAGAATTAATAATATCAAAGTAGCTGGCTCTTTGAGTAGAAAGTGTTCAGTGATTTCTAAGTAAGTTTAATGTCCTCATTACAAGGATGATAGTAACTTCTAAACTGGGACAAAAATTTTAAGACCACTAATATCAGGGGTCATTTATCCAAGAATAAGGTATTTCAGCTCCTTGGTGTGGAGGCTGCATATAAGATAGTAGTGTCCAAAAAAAAAAACAAACCAAAAAAAAACCAATAACCAAAAAACAAAAAACAACCCAGAAATATTCCCTGAAAGAAAAGGAACAGAATTATACAGAAAAGGAAAAAAAAAAAAAAAGTTTAGTTATACTTCAAAGTTAAAAAAATTATTCTGGTCAAATGGATATCTTCACATTAAATCTGATGTCAACATTTAATCAGAGGGCGTTTTTCCAGTAGCCTGCAGTAGTTACTGCATCTTTCAACAGAACAAGAGGTTCTGGCTGTTTCTGTCATACCCCACTGGTCAGACCCAGCCAGGAAGCCCTTTTCTTCCTGATTTCTAGTGTGACTGAAGCCAACAAGATGGAGATAAAGAGGCTTCCTGGGAAGAAACAGAAGATTTTGCTTTAAAAGGTCACTCTGCAGATCTCTGCAGCCACTACTTTTGTCGGGGGCCAACAGGGGAAATATGAGGAAGGGTGTAAGAGAAGAGCAAGTATGTATTGGCACTTTCTTGAAAGACCTCCCAGCCTCCATGTTGCAGCTAAGAAACATTTTAAGTCAGACTTCTTTCTCTTTAATATTAAACCCTTGATAGGTTTTTCCTCTGCAAATGTAAAAAATGTCTCCTGTGCCCATATAAGCCTTTAACATGCACAGAAACCTTTTGCAAGAAATTCTATAGCTAAACTACATATTGTGTGAAAACTATATCCCTTATTTTTTCTGAACCTGCCACCTGCTAGGCTCACTTCATGCCTCCTAATTTCTGTATTAGAAGACTAAACCAATAAGATTTAAATACAGATACCGAGAAATAGTGTTAGTAAAGATTCCCTGAGCAGATTGCACAGAATATAGGCCTCCTGAGATCGATCCTCTCTGCTGACCTGCAACCTCTGTTAGGAGTCCAGTTTGATCAAACACAATGGTGCCAATGGTTTGTTATGTGCCCTCAGGCCAAGAAAGTTCAGGAGCCAGTGCTTTAACTACACCTGAAACATGAAGCCGGCAAGATGACTGCTCAGGAAGTATCTCTGAGAAACATACTAACATGCAAACAAACCTATTGTTCAGATGTGAGAAAACATGGAAAAGAGGCTCTGTCTTCTTTTAACAAAGGTGCAGAGCTAAAAACACAACTGTTCAGAAATCAGATTTCTAATCCATTCAAAATTGTGACTCCTCGATATTTGCTTTCATCTTGCATTGGTATGAGGAGTCAGAACCTTGCAATAGTTCAGTTTGCAAACATCAGGATGAAACATTTCAATAACATCAACATGTTCTAGATGTCAAGACATATTAAAATAATGAAAGGACTGAAAGGAAATTAAATGAAATGAGAAAGGCAAAATGAAACAAAACAAGAAAGTTGAAACATAATACTTTGTTTCAATTTGCCAAAACTTCAGAACTTTTCTTTCCAAAACTCTATTGAAGCTGACAAGCTTGAGCAAAACATTTCCATTTCAATGAGACAGCATTTTCCAGTGGAAAACCGTTTCTGAGAAGATTGCTTAACCAGTGCTAATCAAAGCTGCTATTTTCTACCCATGACAACCTTTCACTAGACTTCTACTCACACAGTTTAGAGAGAAGCTTGTCTCCTGTAGCACTACATTCATGCCACATGGGCAGTAAATGCAAATGCCTCTGAGGTTTATGCAAATGATGTGACAAGATACATATTCCTGCATTTGCCCTTCCTGTAACTTCAGGTCCCAGGCTGCAAACACGGACAAAGGCCAGTGGTTCTGAGCACACACTTGGAAAAGCAGGGGTCAGTCACTCACAGACAGATGAATCAGGTACACTTAACCTACATATCTGAGAGAAGTTTCCCACAAAGGTACAGAATGTCTTTGATTCCTGTCTCAATTCTTCCTCTTTCCCAGAAAGGACGTTAAGTTTCTGCAAACTGTTTTAGCGAAGTCAGCATCCACTGAAGGAACTGAAGTTTACACAGAGCAGTGCAGAGCCTGCAGAGTGCTGGGGACGGCGGCGGCAGGGAGTCGTTAAACAGAATCCAATGTTGATGAGGAAATTACACTTGTTTCATTAGTGATCGGGGAAGGCGATAGCTCAGTTCCTCTTGGTCACAGTTGAGCTCAAAAGCTCATTATCCTGCTGCATGCATGCTTTCACTCCTCGTCAATAAACACTGTTTCCAGTGGCTGCCCTCCCTCCTCCCTGAGCTCCATAGCTGTGGCTTTTTCTCCTGTGCTTAACCCATGCTTTAGCAACACTATAAACAGTTTAGGGTGTCAATTCAGCAGGGAGTGAGAAAAAAAGTCTTGAAATATCAGAACAATTTCTCTCCATACAGTAAAGTTATGTCATATGAAGCATTTCAAAAGCAGAAATTTTCATGAGGATAGATTTTCTTCTCCTTTGGGAAGCAAACCAATTCCAGCATATTCCACAGATAAATCAATCCAGTAAAGAAAAATCTGGATTGTGCATTGCATGGTCATCTTCACAGGTTTCACCTATTCCTTCCCAGCTAGTTGTCAGAATTTCCATGCAGGATGTTTCTAGCTATGGAATTATGCTGAGTTATCATCATTAAAACAGTAGTTAGCAAGATCTCACAAAAAATGAGGCTTTATACTGAAACTAAAAGCTACTGTGACTAAATACCTTTGGATGATTATTTGGTTTGATTCATACTCATTTTTGCACTGACTACGTTGGTTATCACCCTGAGTACCTCTAAAAACCTTGCTGGAAAGATTGTTCTCAAGTTTAAAGCAGTATAAATCCCCTAACTTGAACAGACTTCATTTCCACCATCTGAGAATCTGTGGTTTTGGCTTTAACACTCCAGTGAGAGGAGATTTGCAGAGATTATGCCATAAATTAATTGACATTCTTTGGTAATTGTATTACAGGCATCCATTCCATCTTGCATTACCTTCTTTTCCTGTTCCATGGTATCTAGCAAGGACTGCCAGGTGCTTCTGTTGAAACAATTCCACCTCTGCCTTTGGGCAGACCAGAATCTAATACCTACATTATTCTTTCACTGCCTTTTAAGCACATAAGGCCTTTCAGACAGCCTTAACTGTCCACAGTTTGTTGATACTACATTAAATTGAGCTTATGATCAGATCATAATGATTTTCCATAATAGAAGCATACATGTTTAAGTTTGGGGCGATTTGTTTATTTTGAATGCAGCACCAGACCCCTTCGGTTACCAAATACCCTGCACAGCCTTCTAAGAAACAGCGAGACTCAGCTCCTTCTGCACAATAAAACTGAATGTTTTAGAAGACTCTGCACCATTCAGATCTTGGTTCAGAGTCTTACTAGGCCACAAAATTTGAAAGTATTTTGGTTTTGGCCCATTTTCCTAATGTGAAAAAGGCAGCTGTAGCACAACTAGTCTTTCAGATTCAGCACAGTACCTAAAGTGCTAATCATTAGAAAAACATTTTCCAGAGCTAGAATGCAGCAAGCTTTCTCTATAATTCTCTAAGCATAAAAGAGAGGTTAATCATGTATGAATCACTTTTTCTGACTAATACCATCATCCAGAGTAAGAAAGAAAGTGATTCATGTGTTTGCCATTTTGTTTTGTATTTAATCACAGCCAACTCAGAACATTTCCAAAAATTAATGATACTCTTCTCCACAAATATGCCATCACCCTCAGTACCCTAATAAAAAAATTTAGCAATACATATTGCTATCAACAGCACTGCTAGTTCCAAAGAGTTTCTTGTGAGCTTGTCCCATTAACCTTCCATGCCTGCTGTCTCGACACTGCTGGAGAACCTTCCTGTTATTAATAAGAAAGCTGATAATTAAATGCATAAAAGCTTGCATACGCAGTCCTACTGCAGATTGAGAATTGGAAGAGAGAAGGCAATAAAAAAAAATGAAAAAACCCACCCCAATTAAATAATTTATTTGTATTATTGAATTTGAACTGATTTCTTGATTGTGAAGAAGTCAATCTTGTGATGCTTAATGGTATGTGTAAGCAATTTTGCACTGAACAGGCACGGAAGTGTCTTGAAGGGAAGAGTTCCAGCTAGACAAGGAAGCTACATACACCAGTTTTCCTGCTGGCAAATGGATTCAGCATGAACAGTGGTCTGATGAAATAGCAGACATCAATCTTTATTCCTTACTATATTTCACACCTTCCTTGGTTTCTTCCAGGGAGCGAGTTCTCAGGGAATCCCTACAGCCACCCTCAGTACACGACCTACAACGAGGCCTGGCGGTTCAGCAACCCTGCATTACTAAGTGAGTACCTCTTTCCCACAGCACACCCCCAGCCTCGCGCTCCTTCTGTTTGTCTCTTTGTTTTCTTTTCTTTGTTCTCTTTGGGTTTTTGTTTGTTTGTTTGTTTCTGAAAAGGGGTTTCAAGTATTTGGGCAGGTGAGAGGTCTTTTCCTCACTCTCCAGTCCAGTTTGAAATATACCTCATGCATATTTTGTATCAGTTCTGTAGCAGATTCCTCTTTCATGAGACAGTTAAGAACTCAAGTTCAGCTCTGGCTTCTCCATGGGCTGCATCCACAATTTATTCTAAATTATATCAAAAGTAAAAATTTAGGTTCTGCTACTCTTAGGCCACAACCAGCATACTTTCAAGGCCTGGTTAAAAATTCAGATAAGGTTTCACTCCTCTCCCAGGCTAAATCCAGAGTCAATTCCGGGGAAATCTTTAAATCCCATAGAATTTCTTCCTACTGGACCAGTTGGACTAATGTCTAGAGTGGGAGACAGGCTGCATCACAAGATTTATAATAGCCAGTAGAGTTCTCTTGCAGGGATATATATCCATCTCCAGTCATTGATATGCTCAGAAAGAGTCAGGATTTTTTTTCAGTGGGGGAAAAAACTCCTATGAGACTTTAGCTTTTAATACAACATTTCTTTGCAGGGGAATAGGAAGAGATTTATTATATGTAAAATAAATCAGTTGTGATTATTACCTATGTATTTACTGAGGTTTAACAACTGGATAATAGATGCACATTTTATTCCAGTGCTGTTAAACTTCAGTAAATGTGATTTTAATAATCAATCACTATTTAACACACATTCAATAACCATCTAAAGAGCTTTCATGCCAATTGTGACCCAAATCCCAATTAATAAAGCACTGTAATTTTGTTTCATTTCTCCCCTACTGGTTTTAAAGTCACTTTATCAGGTGCATCCAGAACATCTGGCCCTGACACTTTCTTTGTGGCTACGGATCAGGTGTGGCATATCGCACCGCGATGTTTTTTGTGGTTTAGCCCCAGGCATTAGCCAAGCCCCGTGCAACCACTCATTCATTCCCCCACCAGGAGGATCAGGGAGAGAATTGGAAGGATAAAAACTAGAAAACTCCTGGGCTGAGATACAGACAGTTTAACAGGAAAAGCAAAAGCCACACACACAAGCTAAGCACAACAAAGAATGAATTCACTCCTTCCCATGGCAGGTGTTCAGCCATCCCCAGGAGAGCAGAGCCCCATTATGCACAATGGTTACATGGGAAGACAAACAGTGTCTCTCCAAATATTTCCTTTTCCTCCTTCCTTCCCTGCATTCACATAGTGACCAGGATCTTTCCTGGTCTGGAATATCCCTTTGGCCAGTTCAGGTCATCTGTCTCAGCTGTGTCTCCTCTCAGCCTCCCATGCACTCCCAGACTTCTCACTGCTGCATGGTAGTATGAGAAGTAAAAAAGCCTTGGCTCTGTGTAAGCCCTGCTCATCAATAACAAAAACATATCAACCCTGTACTCAGCACAAATCCAAAACACAGCCACTTACCAGCCACTGTGAAGAAAACGAACTCTACCCAGCCAAGACCAGCACAAATGCCCATGGGCTTACTTATAGATTGTCAGAGGATGCAAAAGGATCTCTTTCTCATAGCGGGAAGTCCTATCTAGAGGCCACCGTAGCATCTATCGACTGAAGTGTAGCCCTCAGTTGGCTTCCACTGATTGCCTTTCCCTAATCCCATCAGGAGCTCAGTCTCCAAGTTCTTCTTTCAGTTCTTTTGCTTTTCTTTCTTTCTACCTTTCTTTTTGTTTTCAGTTGTCCTTAATTTCTTTTCTTAGTTTGATTGTTTCTGTTTTTTGTTTTGTTTTGGTTTTTTTTGTTTACTGTTTGTCCTTTCAACCAGTCCATTCTTCTCCTGTGTTAACTTTCAGGTTCCCCTTATTATTATAGTGCCACATCCCGGGGCTCCGCACCTCCCACTGCTGCCGCTGCCTATGACCGCCACTAGTTACCATGGAAACCACATGAAACTGCAGGGCGACAGCTTAGGCCTCCACATTGTACCTGTCTGATCACCTCCCTCCATCCCTGGGAAGGGTGAAGAGACCTTCTCTGTTCCTCCACACAGTCCAGTTCCTTCCTCTTCGCCACGAAGGTGCCGGACCAAGCGCTCACCACATGAGACTGAGACCCCTTCGTTCTCCCTGCCCTCCGCCCCTGCCAGAAACAGCGTGCGGCCAAGTGGCTTCCCCTGCAGGAGCCCTCCAACACCCCTGGGTAAAACTCAGCCATGCAAAATCCCCTTGGCTTCCAGGACTCCAGGGGGACTGGGAAGCAATGCAGCTGGCAACCATTGCCTTACAGGACCCCTTTCTGGGAGCGGTAAGGGCCAGGGAAGCAGGGGAGAACGCCGCTTGTGAAACACTGTTCCCCAAAGATATACTCTTCTGTGGTGGACTCTTGAGTGTGTGTAACCTGTGATGCTCATCCTATTTCCCTGGACAGAGGGAACAGTCTGGCTAGAGCAGAGATGGCAGCACCTGGCCCATCTGCCAAATGAAGAAAGGACCAAGTAAAGATCTGCACCCCATGAGGGTTCTCTGTGCACCTCATCCCCACTTTCCAGCATGGACTCCCCCAGAGTTGGCTGCACTTCATGGGTGGTGACTTTGCAGGCCAGAGTTGGGAGGAACCTCACACATACACCCACAATTTCTGTGACACACAATCAGCTCAGACAGGAGGATGGAGCAACATTTACAAACAAACCGACGAAATGAAGAAATATATAAATAGATCTATAAATATAACTGTGTTTTTATGCTTTGTCATGAAGGTCTGTAAAAAGGAACAAAAAAATTCCCCAATTTTCTAAAAAACCCAAGCAAACAAAATCAACAAAAAAACCAAAATAATAATTAAAAAACCCTACAAAAATAAAACTCCAAGTCCCATCTCTCCCCACCACCTGAATGGCAGACGAGTTCCTCTGACGTTTGATGCTCCTCTTTCACTCTAGGGTTTTGTTTCCTTTCTGTTTTGCACTACAGTGGGATGATGGTATTGGAGAGGATTGGATGCCAGCTCCACCCGGTCGCCTCCTCCTCCCCCTCCTTTCCCAAATCCTGTCTCTGGGGAGCAGTGTGGACAAGTCACATCTGACAAAGTTACCAAATACATCAGTCGACAAAAAAAAAAAAAAAAAAAAAAAAAAAAAAAAAAAAAGAAAAAAAAAAGCACTCTGAGGCAACAAACGTTTTCCATGTCACTGGTTGGCAAACAAAGAAAACAAGCCCAGCTGCGCTCTCACTGTGCTGTGTGGTGGAAAGTGTGGGGCTTCACGTGGGCCCATCTGATTGCCCTCTGGACAGCTGAGACTGAGATGGACAAATTCAGGATTGGCTGGGATAATTGCTTGGTTCCCTAGTCCTTAGCCTTCAGTCCTTTTATCTTAAACTCTGTACCTGTGATGACTTCAATTCACCCACATCCCAACTTTTGCAATTTTAGATATGCCCAACACCCATTCTCCAGATCTCCACTGCTGGTGACAACCACCTCATTATCTGTGCCCAACACCTAATTTCCTAACCATTACAGTCCTGCTATATGGGCCCCCCTTTGATTCCCCACCCATCTGCTCATACACCTACTAATTTATAGGCCCCCATTCAAATCCATATGCTTGCATCCTACCAGCCAGACCCAATATACAGCCCCATGTTTTCATTTTCAATCCTGTATTGTGCACCCTACTATTTACCCCTTATCCCAAATGTTCACCTGATGATTCTCAAGAGATTCTCTGCTCATTTTGGTTCCCAAGTGATGGACAAACACTGTTCTGCAAAAGGCTAAATGTCAATAGAAATGCTTATTATCCTGTATTGTCAGCAAACTCATAAACTGTTCCTTGCACTGACACTTCCTCAAAATTGCTCAAAGAAAACATGAAGGCAGCTATAGCCTGTCCCCAGAGCACCAAGTCTGCCAAAGTAGATCCTTGTTGTTTTAGAGAGGTTTCAGATAAAACTCATGGGCTATTGTCCATGGACAAAGACAGGATTGAGAATAGAACCCCCGAAGGGCATAAAAGTGAACAGTGGAGCAATCTCTACAGCCAACATCATGTATAAAATCCAAAGTTTCAAGCCTCTGAGGAGATGTGATAGTGGACTTGGTATTCTGTCTCCAAGTTTAACTTGTATGTATGAAATCCACCATCAGTAAACAGCTGTATTGATCCCAAAGGGCCCTTTCACCTAACTTTCAGCCTTTGCATGGCTTTAGCTGATTATAGGTCTGTGTCTTCTTTAATGGGGTGCCCAAATGATAAGGGTATTTGGGGGACATTTACATAGAAGATATAGAGCTAAAATCTGTTCCTGTACAGAATAAAATCCAAGAGGTTACTTCTGATCTATTAAAAGTGTCATTCTGCACAACTTGCCTCTCTGTAACCTGCTGCAAATAGCCGAGTGGTTACACTGTCACCATGACCAGAATTTGGCCTGTTGTCTGAGCCTACTCTATGAGAGAAAAAATTCTGTTCAATTTCTAAACAAATGCTTTCACCGCTCCTTCTGTTTTCCTTCACAGCCACCAGATAGATGCTGAACCCTGTTAGAATGGTCTCTCTTTTAGTCTCTCAGTACAACCTCTGCTCTACTTGTGCACCACAGATTCACTCAGCAGGTAATCAGTGCAGAGGCAAGAAATCCCAGGACCAGCAAAGAGAAGCTCCTGAGGAAGCTAGAGAAAAGGAGACGGTCACACCTCACACTCGGCCACCTGCAGCCCAGGGCCCAGGTTGAGAGAAGCCAGAAGTTCAGAAATGCTTATTTTTCTAATAGTGTTTCACTAAACTTGAGGACATGAGCTAGAGTCTGAAAGCAGGACTTAGTTGTCTCACTCACGGCTGGCTTGATTTGACCCTTGGAAGGCCAAATCTATTGTTGGTTTAACTCCACTGTTTAAAGAGGATTTCCACCAGGCATTGGATTGGTCTGAAAGTTCATAAGTACAGCATATAGTTTGACCAGGAAAATTCAAAGGAAAGCAGAATTATGCAAAGGACTGGGCAGTCTAATCCTCTTCCACCACCATCTGTAGACCCTCATGCGAATGTACTGAATTACATTTGCCAAAGAGTTTCTTGTGTTGGTTGTTTTGATTTACAGTCGGTGGATGCATTGTAAAGCAGTATTATAGCCCAAGTCTAGTAGCTGACACGGGGATTTATGTGGTGATATTATGCAGAAGAAAACCATCAATATTCATCTAGATTCCATTAGACTGGACTATGCAGGAAACGCAAAAATTCTACCAATTATTTAATATTATGTTATTTGCAAAAAACAATTGCTGCTTTGTAGGAAGATAATGTGTGTAATGTGAAGGCAATTCCTCTTGTATATAAGTTCATCTCCATCATCATCATGGTAGTTATTAAAACAGCCTCGTCTCATCCTGTAGATAAGGAACACGCTGTGTGTACCGTGCAAGTCTCGTTGTGCTCACTGAAAACAAAACAATGTGTTCAATAAAGCACAGCACAAATCCAGAACTTGAGGGAACAGCCAAACCTTGTAAGGACCCTTTCCCCAACAGGCCAACAGCTGCTTTGCTATAGGTGGGGGGTTTTAATTATTTTCCTTTTAAAAGTGTTACAGGATAAAGAACAAGGATTGGAGGAAGAAATCATTACGCAAAATCCAGTGAAGTCTATAACACATTCTGTTATAGACTTCTCCATTCTGCTGTCTCTTACCTTTCTCACATTTCTTTCTCATACCCTCTTTCCATTCATTTTCTATCCCTCTCTTTTATTATTTCTCATTCCCAATGCACTTTTCTATCAAGGGAGAGAAGAGCATTACTGATACGAGAACAGGTTTCTGGGACCTCAAACACCCTTGTTCTTCTTGTGGCTCTAGAAAACCTTTGTCAACTCCAGCCTCCCCACACACATCAATTCCAACACTGTAAAATGGGAATAACAACAGTTTCTAGTTCACAGGGGGATTGCATAGCTGAATTAATTAGCACCGGCTCAGTGCTTTGAGATTCTGGATAGAAAGTTCTATCAAAATTTTAAGCATTATTGTGAATAACAATTAATGTTTCCATGACATTTCTCTGTTGTCCTTTTTCACACAAATCATTCTTTGTTTCTTTATACTTCTTCCTTAGCTCTCCCTTCACTTCTTTCTTCTCAGGTCATTCTTAGTTCTGTTGCTACATGTGCTTTATCTAATGGACCAAGCAGAAATGTTGTGAGACTGACTCTCCTCTGTCTCTACTCGATCATGGGGGAAGAACCTCACAAAATCTCAAATGCTGTGCTTGGCTGGAAACAACAGGGACCATGGCATTCAAAACTGGGCAGTACCTTTGAGTTCTGCTCTCTGAAGCTCTCATCCTTTTGGCCCAAAGGGATGTGGGGAGGATTGCATGAGGTGGATGCAGTAAAGCTGACACTTGTGGCCTGTAAATCTGTTGGGGAGAGTTGGTGGCAATAAGCCCTGCTGTGGAAACAGGGAGAAGTTTGCATGCTGTCTGACCCATCAGTAGCGATGAATCAAACTCAGAGTAAGACTTTGGAATTAATCACAACATAAATGTGAGGATGTTAAACAAGAAAAGGAAAGCAAAAAGCCCTGCATCTCTTTCTTCTCTTGAGTATAAAATTATATATGCTTAATAATGTTTTCCTAAAGGAATTTTTGTTTTGCTGAACTGTTGGAAAAACTTTACCCTTTTGTCCCCAAGGAAAAGCACCCCTCTGGAAAAAGAAATAAGAATCATAGCTGAGCTGCCCCCTTTGGCACTGACAGAGTGAGGGCTTCTGAGGGACCCACAAAACCACAGGGTGCTCCTTGGCTGAGCTCAGGATGGTGGCAAACTTGCAAAGCAGAGAACTGATAACAAATGTCACCGTAGAGCAGCTCTGCTGGTGATCTCCAGGCTAAGCTAGACATGAGCCCGGGGAGGGAGGGGGCAAGTGCCAGGTGCAGGGTCACATCCATTCTAGGCTTCTGCAGCCCCTCTTGGCTTTTCCTCATCACTTCAG